AAATACCTATCTTTTTTGTGGTGAAAACATTTAAAATCAAATCCTTCAGTAATTTTAAAACATATAATGCATTATTATTATGGTTACCATGCTGTGCAATAGATCATTAAAGCTTATTCTTCCTGTCTAACTGAAATTTTGTACCATTTGATCAACATCTCCATGTCCCCACTCATTTGCATCCCCCAGTTTCTGGTAACTACCATTGTACTCACCATTTTATGGAGAAGTCTCAATTCAGTTTTCTCTAGAAAGAGAGCAAGTCAGTCAATAAAATTCCTTTCTAACTATTTTGTGTAGTCCAAGACTTTTACATTAAATTTTCTGTATTTATTTACCACTGGCTGGTCTTAGGTTGATATTTCCTTTTGGGAATTTTCAGAAATCCTTTTTGATAGGTCTTTGAGTTTGAGTGGATTACAGTAAGTTGGTCAGGATATGCAGGGAATCAAAGGTGGTGCTTTTTACCACTCAGCAGTCGATATGTGTAAGATACTACATAATTTGGTGAAATTCAAGTGTTGTCTGTATATACTATAAAATTTCAGTTTTAGGCAAATACCTGAAATGTTTAAATTTACTCTCCAGGAGATACTCCTCTCCCTTTATCTAATGCCTTTCTGTTGTAGTAGCCTGGTGATTTAATCCATTGCTCCCCACTTCATTTGTTTGACGTCTAACAAACATTTGTTAAGTAGTGCTGTATATTTGACACTGTTTTAGAAGCTGAGGATCTAGGAGTAGATAAAACAAATTTTTCCTCTCTAGGGAGTTTATATTCTAATAGAGGAACAGGACAATAAAGCAGGAAAACATGATAAATGACTTAAAAGTAAATTAATTGGACAAATATGTAATTCATTTCAGTATGTACCTTGACATGGAGGAGGTTACAGTGTGGGAAATTTTCTATGTTCTAGTCAGTAGAACCCAGTAGTTGTAATGCATCTGCAAGATGCCAAAAATATAATCAAACTGTCACGAGAATCCAGAAACTTAAAGGGACTGTGGACAGAGAAAGCATTTCAATTTAGATATCGACAGAATACTTCTCTCTGCATTTGTTTTCAGCCAAATAGCTTTTCTTCCAGTTTTATTTACCTTTGGTATTTGTATCAAGCTCTTATTTTCTTCTGATAACCCGTTAATTTAAAAGTAGCTCTTATGAAGCAATAGCGATTTTTCTATTATTGAGTATCTGTTTCAAAGTCATTTAATCTTCCAAGCAGAATTTGTTGTGTGAAGTTTTATGCAGCCAAGAATAATTTATTTGCAAATGTAGCAATAGCATACAATCAGCCAAACAAGATTTTTTTTCTCCAAATAATATTCTACTGAAAGTTTAAATGTTTGTAGTTTATGTTTCATTAGAATTTGAATAGGTATTGCAGCTACTCCAAATGTTCACTGATAGTGAAATATTATTTGGGAAACAGAACCCTGTAAACATAACTCCTTTCAGAATACTAACACATTCAAATTCCTACTCAAGACAAATATTATTTGGAAGGTGACATTCATATGATAATTATAGTCATGAACTAAAGAACTAATTTGGCAAATATAGGTATAAAGATATGTACAATGTCTTACTATCATTATTAAGAATATTATCTTTAATGGTATTGTTCAAAAAAGGTTTTAATAAATATGAAATATTTAAGGGCTATTTTAAAATGACCTGTGAGGGGCTATTCTCTGTCACAGCACTTGCACGATTAGCTTAAATGAGACTTATGAGCTTTCTTATTAATTAGTCAGAGGACTTAAGAGTTTGACTGTTTATTTGTTTTTTTACTTATTCCAAAAATTTATTCCTAAAATCCAAGTCATTTGAAGAACATAGAAAACTTACTTTACAAAAGATTCTCAAAGAACAGCTTTTCATAAAGCCAAGAATTCATTATCAAAATCATCAACCACCAATTACCTCTACCCGGAATGTGCCTGCTTTGTAAATTCAGATTTTTGTATATTGGATTTTCCTAAAAAGAGAACACAACTGACCTTTTGTTACAGAGGTTGTTTTTATCCTCAAAGAATACCAGATTGCTACATAAAATCTGCCTCACATTTCTCCAAAAACTTTCAGATAAAAGTGAGATAAATTTCCAATTCAATTACATGAAAGGGTAATGAAATCGTTATTTCCCCAACTATCTCTCATTCTTTGCACAAGAGAACTGAAGTTCTTTGGAGGTCACTGGGCCAGTGGTAATTCCATATCGACCAAGACCTGTGTGGGTCACAAGTGTGAGGAGAATCCCCCTTAATCAAGGTCACAGATGTCTCATGCAAATGAACTACAAGATGATCAACTATGAGAGAAAAAACATCTGCACAAACTGAGAAGAAACAAGACGTCACCTCTGCCTGGAAGAAAACAGACTATGGGCAGTTAATCATACAAGGTTAAGTGCTCAGCAAACAAGTGATGGATTTTCTCAGCTATCTCTTGAGAGGAGAAACTAGTATAACTTGGTCACCCTGATTCAGCAGGGCTGGTAGAGATACCCCTGCTGAAACAAGCAAACAATCTCTTCCAATGGTCCCTTTTCTCCCTGCTCCCACCCACCTAAGCTTAACTCATCACTCTCCTCCACCCCCACACACACCCATCCCATCCATCACACCCATGCCATCTATAAACAGTTCTGCTGAATCCACCACTTGAATATCCCAGGCATCCAACTGCCTCTTCCCGACTCTACTGCCACTCCTTCCTCCATCAGGCGACCTTAACCTTCAGGGACCCTCAGCTGGTTTCACTGCCTGCAGTCCTAGACTCCTCCATCCATTTTCACCAGGGCAATCTGAATGATTTTTCTAATTTACAGACCTGCTGGTTAAAGACTTTCAGTGGCTCCTCAATGCCATAAATCCCTCTCTGAATACAATCCAAATGCTTTAGCATAATTCGAAAGACCCATAATCGGCTGGTTCAGAGGCACCCAAATTTTGCTGTACATTGTAATCTGAGAAACTTTTATAATTCCCAATGCCCGGGCACACTACATACCAATTAGGTCACAATGTCCGGGGCACAGGAGGTGGGGAGGAGCCAGGGATTGGGAGTTTTTTCTTTCTTAATTTAAATTTCCTCTAAATTCCCAGGTGACTCCATTGTGCAGCAAAGTTTAGGAACCCACTAAACCAATGACTTTACCTCTCTAGGCTCACCTGTTACCACTCCCCCAGCACATATAGAAATCATTTCCCTGTTTTCAATACTTTCTTAGGCTTTCTTACATCTAAGGCCCCACCTAGGCTGTTCCCTCCCTCTGAACACTTCTCCCCTATCAAGACTTGTGCAACTTTCCTTCCAAAAATACCTCAACTCAATTTACAGTAGAGTTCCAAAATATTCCCTAACAAAAATTGCCTACTGGAGAAATCCATATGAAGTTGCCAACGAGGAAAAGATATATTAGATGGCAATAAATGCAGATCTGTGTTGTAAAAGTTGTGATATGTAATTAGGGAATACAGCCAGGAATCAGCTAAAATGATGAGGTATAACCCTACATCAATTGGCCTTTATGTAATAAGTACTACAGATGTGCTAAAGAGTAAAACATAAAGCCAGCGGTAAATTAGCACTAACTGGGAAACTAGAACTAGCTGGTGGTAGTCTGTCTGAGTATGGGCCGCCCTCAGCAGACAGACAACCTGGGATCTGCATAGATAACTTGGTAGCACATCCCGGCCTGATGACAAGGGGCAGATGATTTTCTAACATCAAATTCAGATGATCCTTTAATAAGTCATTTTCTGTAGATCTTTCAATGAACCACTATATGTATAAACAACACTTCTTTGTGTTAGGGGGTTTTGGTTGGTTGTACTTTGCTGGTTAGTTTGCTCTGCAGTACCACTACACAGTTTCTCTCCTCTCTCTCTCTCTCTCTCTCTCTCTCTCTCTCTCTCTCTCTCTCTCTCTCCACCCCCATCCCAGAGTCTTCAATTTGGATTAGATGCCATGCCTATGTGCTCTGCAGCAATTCATATATCTCCTATTATATCACTGAACACGAAGTATTGGGACTGCCCATTGAACTGACCGTATCCCCCAGGTTCTTTGGGAGCAGGAACATGTCCACTGCAGTGACCACAAGTCACCAACAGGAAGCCCCTGATGTAAGCTCCTAAAAAAAGACTGTGTCTTTGCTGTTCAACATTGTGCCTCTGGCACTTACTACAGTGCTTACACACACTGGACACTCAAATTCTTATTCGAGTCCACGTTGGACTTCTTAAAATTGATACTTAGCACTATGGTCTTGAAAATCTGAGAGGCACTCTTTAGGGAACAAGAGCCCAGAATAGAAGGCAAGAAGAGAGAGCCCGACACTTTCTAACACACATTGGGAATAACCCTACTTTTCAAAACCCTCCTTAATAAGCACATTCCCAGTGGCTTGAGATGGGCTGAATTGTTTTTTCTTCTTTTTTTTTTTTTTTAGACCCCAGTGTGTGATGCTCCCCTCTCTGTGTCCATGTGTTCTCATTGTTCAACACCCACCTATGAGTGAGAACATGTGGTGTTTGATTTTCTGCTCTTGCGTCAGTTTGCTGAGAATGATAGTTTCCAGGTTCATCCATGTCCTTACAAAGGACATGAACTCATCGTTTTTGATGGCTGCATAATATTCCATGGTGTATATGTGCCACATTTTCCCTGTCCAGTCTATCATCGATGGGCATTTCGGTTGGTTCCAGGTCTTTGCTATTATAAACAGTGCTGCAATGAACATTCATGTATATGTGTCCTTATAGTAGAACAATTTATAATCCTTTGGCTATATACCCAGTAATGGGATTGCTGGGTCAAATGGAATTTCTATTTCTAGGTCCTTGAGGAATCGCCACACTGTCTTCCACAATGATTGAACTAATTTACACTCCCACCAACAGTGTAAAAATGTTCCTATTTCTCCACATCCTCTCCAGCATGTGTTGTCTCCAGATTTTTAAATGATCGCCATTCTAACTGGTATGAGATGGTCTCTCAATGTAGTTTTGATTTTCATTTCTCTAATGACCAGTGATGGTGGGCATTTTTTCATATGTTTGTTGGCCTCATGTATGTCTTCTTTTGTAAAGTGTCTGTTCATATCCTTCACCTACTTTTGAATGGGCTTGTTTTTTTCTTGTAAATCCGTTTTAGTTCTTGGTAAATTCTGGTTATCAGTCCTTTGTCAAATGGGTAGACTGCAAAAGTTTTTTCCCATTCTGTTGGTTGCCGATTCACTCTAATGACTGTTTCTTTTGCCGTACAGAAGCTGTGGCGTTTGATTAGGTCCCATTTGTCTATTTTAGCTTTTGTTGCCAATGCTTTTGGTGTTTTGGTCATGAAGTCCTTGCCTATATGCCTATGTCCTGAATGGTTTTGCCTAGATTTTCTTCAAGTTTGACTGTTTTTAATGGCTGCTCCCTCAGTACCTGTCACAGGGTTGTCTTTGATTTTACTTACTTTAGAATATAGAGAGGCAAGACGAAAACTGGATGCAACAGTTTCCCTAATTTGGATGTTAATACATTTATTTGGGGCCCTTAAAAGTTATTCAGTATTTAAAATTTTGACATGTACACATCTTAAGAGATTGACAATGATAACCAGCTATCAATGTTAGCTAGATAACATATTCACTATTCTTTCTCATGAGGGTGATATGTTTATGCTGAGCTAGCCATATCATTTTCTTTTTTTTTTTTTTCCCTTATGGCCATGACATGTGGCTATAATCAAGAATGCAGGTCTTGTTTATTTGAAAAAGTAATTAATCTTTATGGTGGAGAAGGAAAAAAAGTCACAACTTTTGACATTATAAGCATACGGTCTAAAGATTTAAATTAAGAGAGGAAGAGATTGAGATAGGATGACCCATGGTGTGGTGTCAAAACAGATGTGAATAAACTTAACTTATTATTACCATATATATGGATATTGATTTCTAGGCATCAAGCACTGTCTGTATGTCTTAGAAAGACCTATTCCTTTCATGGTAGTCAAAACAGCACATGAATATGAGTACCTCTCAACATTTTCTGGCAGGATTTATTACTGATATATCATCGGCATAAGCATGACTATGTCTATTCTCATGGTCTTCCAGGTGTTGTATTAGTAAGCCTAAAATTCATCATATAACTAATTTTTCTCCCTTGGTCCAAAGTCCCTGACGTATAAGCATAAGATTTGTTTTATTTTCATCAGATCAGTCAAATGTTATTTATTCATCTACCTATTTAAAAAGTATTTAGTGCATATTATATACCCGGTTCTGTGCTATGATCTAGCAATGCAAACATAAGTGAAATTAGAAACTTGCTTTAAGGAATTCAGGAGAAACAAAGACGTGAATAATGACAGCAGTGTGATAGGCTGTGATAGTAGTATGAATATGGGTCAATGGAAACACGATGCAGAAAGTGCTTAACTTTGTCTAAAGATGGTAGTGAATATGAAGGCTTCCCAATTATGTGAGATGAAACCTGAAGGCAACCCTGAAGATGATCAGATTCCTTTGTTTCTCTATCCTCCAAGCGCTATTTTTCTTATGAAAGGCTCCAAATACCAACATTTCAACACACTGTCTTGACTAGGAGTAATTTCCAGCTTGGCTTTCCTTCCTTTCTTCATTTAGCATATGTTTATTGGGTCCCCAAGATAAGCACGGCACTAAACAAGGCACTCAGGATGGTGATGAGTAAGACAGACATGACCTTATGCTTGTGAAATATGCATTCTAGTAATGTTGCCATAAACATATCATCATCCAAGTACTTGTTGAATTATGATTGCTTTGAGAGCTGTGCAAAAGAGCTATAAGGTTGTCTGAGTCCATGTCACAGGGAACCTGGCATAATTGAGAGCCAAGTAGTTTCTTGAGTGGCTAAACTTTCAACTGAAATCTAGGACACGATTTGTGACTTTCCAGAGAAAATGTGGGGAAATTGCCTCCCAGGTAGGAGGACATCTTGAGTGAAGGCTCTGGAAATGAAAAGAAGGCCGGCCAGTGTAAACCAGAGCTCACAGAAGGCAAGGTGTGGTTCAGAAGCTCAGAACAAGGTCAGATCATGAGGACTCTTGTGGGACATTTTAAATGTTGAACAAAGAGAAGACACTGAAGATATTCATGGTGAGGTAGGGGTTGGGAGACTCCAATATGCATTTGATAAATAGCCCTCTGCAGATCTGTGGTGTGCAGATTTGGTCAAAGAACAACTCTTATGGCCCTTTACATACCAGCCTGTCCATTAAGAAATGCCGAATATAAGATTAAATGGATACATTCTCAACAGGGACCAGGGTTGTATTGCTGACATCTGGCTCTTGCAAGCTGTTTGAAGGGACTCAGCAGTTGGCAGAAGTACCATAGAGGCAGGCATCTTTGAGGGAGCATCATGAAACTTGTATTACGTGGTCATTGGTTTTACTCTGCTACTTGTTCTTCAGGCTTGCTATTATCTGCGTTCATTTAGAAAGGACTTAGCAGGGTTAAACAATACGTGACTTTGACCTGAGGTTTAAGGACTGATTGTAATTTATAATGCCTCCTTCTCAGAAAACATTTGCATTTTTATTTTTTTATTTATTTTATTTTTTTATTTTTTAACTAAAATTCACACTTTATTCAGATTTCCTTACTGCTTTTTTTTTTTTTTTTTTTAACATGCTGGGATTTTTCTGTTCTGAGTTGTCATGTCTCCTTAGACTTCTCTTGGTCTTGACAGTTTCTCAGAACTGTATGCATTCTTAATTTACATAGAAGGCACTGCTTTGTAGCCCATTCTGTTTCCTTTTTTTTTGGGGGGGGGG